TTGCAAAGTTTACTCCATCTCAATTTACACCTCAAACTTGTGTCATGCTCAATAAGCCAGTTTATTCCTAATATTATATCGAACTCCCAAAATGGCAGCTCTATCAAATCGACTAATAATACTTCACCTTGATTCTCTACAGGACATCGACGGTGAAACTTGTTAACCAAAACGTCTAATCCTCATGGACTAGACACTCTGACCCCCCATATTTAAATCCTCAACCATGATATTTCTATCTCGGACTAGCTCGTAACAAACATAACAATGAGTGGGACCCATATATACCAATACATTAATAGAAATGGAAAAATTGTGACTATATCTGATATCACATCAGTAGCATCTCACTCATACTGGGCTTGCACTGCACACCAATGCGAGGCTACTCTGGGCTCTGACCAAATCCTAATCTGGTGATAACTCTGTTGTACTTCCCTGAAGAGACTCTGCCACCCCTAGAGAACCCTCGACCTCGCTGGATGAATGGTGCAGATCTCTACAAAAATGCAAGGGCTGAACTCTGAGCTCGAGAACAGTCTCTGATAAAATGATCCAATGACCTACAGCCGAAGCAACATTCAATCACTCGGTAACACTCTCTGAGGCGCATCCTTCCACAGGTCGAGCACATTAGATGAATTGGTGTCCACTGAGACCTACTGGTACTCGAACCATCACCTGACGAAAAGGGTCTCCTTTAGGAGCCAGATCTATCTCCACAATCCAAACTATGATTTACTCCCTTCGACGACCTTGATAGTTGTCTCCCTAAACTCTAGGGGTCCTTACCCCACTTAGTTGATGATTGAGATGGCCTAGCAGACCCTGGAGCCCTCCGACTCTGACCCACCAAGTCACTCGCCACCTGAGCCTTCTTTTACAAAATTCACTAGACTATTTTTACCTGACGGATTAGTTCTACGAAGACACGAGGGGGATCAGTTGCCAAGTGAGTCAAAATATCCAAGTGGAGGCACTCCTTGAACCTTCTACAATGGTGAGCCTCTATAGAACGAGATCTGGCACATATTTTCTCAACTTGAGAAACTCTTTCTCGTACTCAAATACGGTCTGATCACCTTATATCAGATGCAGAAAATGGTCACGTAAATCATCAGTGTAGGCCTCTCCTATGTACTTCTTCGTGAACTCTATCAAGAAGAAATCCTAAGTGAGTCTCTCTGGCTTCATTTCTCTCCTATAATCGATCGTGTCACTCTTCAGAAGGGAAATGATGCACTCAAGCTTGCCCTCAATAGTGAGGTGAAGCTGAAGAAGAGTACAAAATGTCTCTCTAAGCCACTAATTTACAGAGATGTCAGGTTACGAAAAAGGTCACCTCATCGACTACTACGTCCACCGGAACCTCATACTCTGAGTCTATGGCATAATCGTTGCCAAAATCCCCAAAAAAGAAGGTGCGAGTCTCCTCTTGACCATCATAACTAGGAACATCATCATCGACCATAATCTAAATCATCAATTAGAAAGGAAAGAGAGGCCACTATCACCATTACATAAACTTAAGTATTCTTGATACTCTAGGGACATGTATTCACAAAGACACTAACTTTGACCCGCTGATCCTAGGAACGACTAAACCTGGACGCTCCAATAGCACTAAATGTAACACCCTAATCTAGTCCAACCCAAAGATCCATGGACTATGACACCACACAAAACTGCCAAGATGGTCAACCCAAAAATTTCTTTTCAAAATTTTCATAACATCAAAACATTCATTATAGCATAGTTGGAATCATGTTCAAAGTTTACAAAAAAATGAGTCTCCCAAAATATATACAAAATACATCCATTGATTTTAAAACAAAATAGAGTTATGACTCGAATAATACAAGGTTCATATAAAATACATATCCTCTAAATATACTCAAGATATACTCTACAAATCATTTGGTCTGGAATGTACTGATGCAATAGGCTCCTCAATGACCCCCTACTGACCTGGGCACATAAACACATTCTATACGCCGAGCTCACAAGCTCAGTGCCACAAAATAACTATGCAATACTACATACATTCATTACATGAACATGTCAGTGTGCAAAGCCATAAACATGTAAAGTATTCAGACAAACATGAGATAGGCCAAGTGATGTGGTCGGAGGAATTTATGTGCATCTCGGATAACATACTAACTTATTTAGAACTTGATAACTTTAGGGTGAGAACCGATATTTATGTGCATCAGAACTTATAACCCTTAGTCTATCTCAAATGCTCGAGAAGTCGTGTGAGGACCGAAATTTTACTTACATCAGAAACTCAGATCCCAAACCTATTTGAGCATAAAGTACGATTCAAAATTTTACATGTATCGGATATGTACCAAAATGATCCAGAATTTTACTTTCACCGGATGAGTACCAATTCAGAAAATATCTGGATATTTCATAATAGAGGACAATCGTCATAATGCTAGAGTAACTTGGGTTTCATGGTCGTTTCCTGAGCATCACACGTAGGCAAATCTTATGTCATCCTAACTTGCTTGCTTTCTAGGTGAGAATTTAGTTAACTTGATTGTTTTCACTTATATCAAATACTTAAAGCTTATATGGACATAAACACCTAAGCTCAAACCCCGAAACCAAATAAACAAAATTGCCAAAAATATCAATGATGGTATCGATATTATGGTTGCAGTATTGATATCGACCCTTGGGTATCAATACTTCTCTTGAGTATCGATACCAAAAATAGCTTTGATAATTCAAAAAAATATCTCAATATTAATGCTTCTATGGGGATTATTGATACTCTACCCTTGGTATCGATACTCCCATGAGTATCGATACCAAAAATTGCTACTTAGAATCCTAAACTTGCCACCGATATCGGTACTACCCTATGAGTATTGATACAGGACGCTGAGTATCGATACCCCTTGATGGAGTATCGATACTCTCTTTATATTTTTCCATATTTTTTCCTTTCACGAAGAATAGTATTGGTATTGTTCGTCCAATACCGATACTGACGGACTGAAGTGTTATATTTTAAGCACGCAATTTCACCCCAAACTCACTCATTCACTCCCCTAAGACTAACAAAGCTTATTAAAGTCTTATTGGAAGTCTTAAAGATCAAAGGTACCATCTTTCATGCTTAAAAACAACAAATATGAATTTTACCATGGATTTACTCTAGGATGCTTTCATGAATAAAACAAACCATATATGAACATACAATGACCTACATATGGTATGGTCAAGTTAGAATCGTTTTATCTTGTTTCCAAGCTACTGAAAATCGTCCTAAACTCACCCAATGACCAATTTATCTTTGCCTCTTGCTTTGGAACTCTCCCCTTGCTCTTTCACTAATTGAGACATAAGAAATGAGTTACTAACTCATTGAAATGCTTGGAACAAAGTTTAAAACGTTTTCTTACCACTCAAATTCCACAAAACTTGCTAGAACTCAAGGTTCCTTAAAGCCCCACTAGAAGTCGTTTTTGGGTAACTAAGCCATAGCTTACAAAAATGGGTTTAAATGAAAGCTTATGAGGTGTAAGATGTAGTTTTTACCTTAGAATTTACAAAAGATATTTGAATTCCTTAAAAGGACGCACCTTTACTTGGTTCTTCAAGAGGAAATGAGATAGAAGAGGAAATGAGATAGAAGAGTGGGGAAGAATAGGCAAAAATGAATGAAACAGAGGAGAAGGGTGCCAGACGTGAGATCATGTTTGATGAATAGGTTTCGAGTTTGATTCAAATAAATGGGTTAATTATCGACCTAGTCCCTCCTCAATTGATTCATGATTAAAAGCATCTATTTTTAAGCTTGTTGGGCTTATCACAAGCCTAAATTAAATCCATTTGGGTCCAAAGCTTCATATACTAAGGGGAATTTATTCTAAAGCCCATTCGAATAAACCCGAAACTCCTAACCCATATTTTGGGGGCGTTACACTAGTAAACTTTACGATACATAAAATATAGGCATAAAGCTTAATATGATTCTTAACATAAAAAAGGCGAAGATAATTAGTTGCACTAGATCTCTTAAGCAAGATTATGTATTTGAATTCTAATATTTGTGGATAGAGCAAATTGAACTGGGAGGATTGCCCTCACCTCTATAGTATATAATCCAAATTAATCGATCAATAGATTAAATAACAGTGGTTATGAGAAAATATAAAGACAAACTATTTGTAACTCTTAATATTTTTTACCCCAAACCTTTTCTATTGATTAAAATTTTAATCGGTACTGGTTGATATTTTTCATTTCTTTATATACTTGCTTTCATCTTCTCTTTTTTTTTTCATTTATTTCATTTTATTTTGTATATTTCTTTTGTACCTTTGATTTTCTACTTTTTAATTTAATAAGTTTTATTTTTCATCTTCTTACAATAAGTGGATGTTTTTATATGTTAATTTAGCATGTCTTTGTATTACTTTTACAGGGTTTTTTATTCGAGATTGAATTTATCATTATATTTTTAATTTACGACTATTTAATTATTTAATTTAATTTTTAAATGAATTACTTTTCATTAATTGAATTTCATAATTATTCTGAATATGTTGCGCGTCAATTATGTCAAAATTTTTTGTGTACATAATATCATGTTTTTATATGTTTTTGTTTACCTTTTTACACATTTGGAGTCTTTTTTTCTTATTAAACGTTTTGCCATTTTCATTATTTTAGATTGAATTTAACGTTATAGATAAAAATGATATATCTATTATCATATTGAATTATCCTAATTTAACTCTCGAACTGAATTTAAATATACGATTTACGTTCAATAATAACATTCTTATAATATTAAATTCCAAGATAATATTATTTAGCTACAATATAGCACCCGAGTAGATTATGAACCTAAAAAGAAAACCAAGCAAAACTCTATATGGCATGAGACAAACCACTAACGACCCATAAAAAGCTAGACCTAACACGCAACGACGGCGCTTTGCATATACAGATATGCTATCGACCACACATGATTCCAGTGTCCAAGTCCTTTATGCTCCTCAGTCAACCTCTTCCATCTTGCTTTCCTCATTGGCGTCGTCCTCCAAAGACGGCATATCAACATCCTCACCAGCAGTGTCTCCTTCATCAATGCTCAGGCCCAGCTTCAGCATCCTATGGATCCTTCCCGCAAACATGTTGGGATCATCCAAGCTGAAACCAGATGTCAACAGTGCTGTTTCGTACAGTAGCATCACCAAGTCCCTCACCGATTTGTCATTCTTGTCTGCTTCAGCCCTCTTCCTCAGCTCCTCCATTATGCCATTGTCCGGGTTAATTTCCATCGTCTTTTTGCTAGACATGTAAGTACTCATGCTATTGTCTCTCAGAGCTTGAGCTTTCATAATCCTCTCCATGTTGGCCGTCCATCCGTACTCTCCGGTCACCAAGCAGCAAGGAGAGTCCACAATTCTATCGGACACCACCACTTTCTCCACTCTCTCTCCAAGTATCTCTTTGATTGTCCCGCAGAGTTTCTCAAAGGACTTCTTTTTCTCCTCTTTCTTGTTTTTCTCGTCTTCGGTTTCGTCAAGCTTGAGTCCTTCCTTTGTAGCGGACACCAGCTTTTTCCCATCGTATTCCTTCAGTTGCCCGATGCAGTATTCATCGATGGCGTCGACCATGAACAACACTTCGTATCCTCTCTTCTTGAGTTTCTCGATGAATGGCGAGTTCTCGACTGCTTTCTTGCTCTCTCCGGTGATGTAGTAGATATCTTTTTGGCCTTCTTTCATCCTGGTAACATAGTCTTTCAAGCTGGTCATGTTGTCACCACTCTTTGTAGAATAGAATCGAAGCAAGTCGGCAAGCTTACTCCTGTTTTGGCTATCTTCATGGATTCCCAGCTTGATGTTCTTGGAGAAAGCTTCGTAGAACTTGGCGAAATCGTCTTTGTTCTCCGCTATCTCGAAGAACATCTCGATGCATTTCTTCACCAGGTTCTTTTTAATCACCTTAAGAATCTTGTTCTGTTGCAGTGTTTCACGAGAGATGTTCAACGGAAGATCATCAGAGTCCACAACACCTTTGACAAATGAGAGGTACTCGGGAATGAGTTCTTCGCAGTTGTCCATTATAAACACCCTCCTGACATAGAGCTTAATGTTGTTCGGCTTCTTCCTTGTGTCAAACAGATCAAACGGGGCTCTCCTTGGAACAAACAAGATGGCCTTGAATTCAAGCTGCCCCTCAACAGAGAAGTGTTTCACCGCGAGGTGATCCTCCCAATCATTTGTGAGACTCTTGTAGAACGATGCATATTCCTCTCTTGTGATCTCTTCGGGCTTTCTTAACCAAATTGGTTTTTGTTTGTTAATGAGTTGCCACTCATGGGTTACCTCCTTGACCTTCTTCTTTTTCTTGTCTTTGTCTTTGTCCTTGTCTTCATCGACATCCTCCACATCCCCTTCATCTTCCTTCTTTGTTTCATCATCTTCATCATCACTGACCTCCTTTTCGGTTGTTTTCTCAGTCCAAAGGTAAATTGGATAGCTGATGAACTCGGAATGTTTCTTCACCAGATCCTTTGTTCTCCTCTCCTCCAAGTACTCCAACTGATCGTCTTTAAGGAACAGGGTGATCTTGGTACCTCTGCCAAGAGGTTCTCCACTCACATCACGCGAAACGGTGAAAGACCCACCAGCCTGAGATTCCCAGACATATTGATCATCATCATTGTGCTTTGTGGTGACAATCACCTTCTCCGCCACCAAATAAGCAGAGTAAAACCCTACTCCAAATTGACCAATCATGCTGACGTCGGCTCCTGCTTGTAATGCCTCCATGAACTCCTTCGTTCCAGATTTCGCAATGGTTCCCAAATTATTCACCAAATCTGAACAAAAACATTTAGAGAATAGTAAATCCAATTAGAATAGGTAAAAATAGAATTTATTTGAAAAGATTGCTACATTTATATACCTGCTTTGGTCATGCCAATGCCACTGTCCACAATGGTAAGTGTTTTATTAGCTTTGTCTGGGATGATCCTGATAAAGAGCTCCGGCTGAGCATCGAGCTTGCTCTTGTCTGTTAAGCCCTCAAATCTAATCTTATCCAATGCCTATGCATATCCAAAAATCAAAACATGTCAGATTCTTAGATCTAAAATACCAGTTTCCCCACAACCGTCATAAGAGTAGAAAATAAGATATCAAAATCAGAAATCTCTCTGTTCTTTCTCGGTAGCCAAACACACTATAACCAGCAAATACTCAACACAGAAACGTCATCTTGATGTTCAAATATCCACAAAACAATAAAAAAACAATATAAAACAATATATCATAATACTACCCGTAACCAGATAAAGAGCATAGCAAGCTGCCGCTAGAAAGCATTAAAAAACAAATTTAAATGTTAATTTTCATTTTCATTTTTTTTCTTTCAATTTAGTAAAGTAATTAACGGCATATCAATTTCTCCCTAACCGGAAATAGCAAACCGAAAAGAACAGAATATTATAGGTCTAAACCAAAATTCTCTCTGTTCTTTCTCACTCGCCAAACAGACAATATTCAACAAAATACACTCAAACGTCAATTTTTTGTATAAGTATTATCTTTTTGATAACCTGAAACAAAATATTATGGAACTAGCAATATGCTGCGCGAAAACATGATAACCAATACAAACTCCTAACAAATCTTCTTCCACTCTTATTTATTTTCCTCCGCAAACAGACAGATCGTAAAACCATGCCAGCACAGCAAGTAAGTATATCTAGAGCAAATTATGAAATAAAACAAAACTAAACAAACGGCCGCGAGAAAACATGAGAAACAATATAAATCCTCAGAAAATTTCTTTTGTTATTTTTTTTCCTTCCGAGCAAACAAGCAGGAACAGATTAACGAAGAAAAATACGTACATCAGAAGAGTTACTGATAATCTCGCGAAGGAAGATCTCTTTGTTACTGTAGAAAGTGTTGATGATCAAGCTGAGGAGCTGGTTGATCTCCGCTTGGAAAGCGAAGGTCTCCGACTCTGCTCCCATATGCAAGTCCGCCATCGCTGTCTGATATCAAACGATCACCGATATGAAGAAAGAAAGCGAGCGCACAATTGAAGATGCCGTAAATCGATTATTGTTTTTCAAAATTTAGCTTGGATTCGTACTTATAACCAGAGATTGCAAAGGGGTGAAATATATATATAGGGAGAGATGATGAAGTGGAAGGTTTTGGAATCGGTTTTTTGCGCGGGTTCTGGATTTCTCTTTCGTTCTCTTTAAAAAAAAAAGTATTTTCCCTGTTTTACCCCTGCTCCTTAACTGAACAACTGTCGATCCAGAATCTTCTTCGGTGAATTTACTGAAAGAGAAAATCGCCTCAGTGACCAAAAAAAAGTTATAATATACGATTTTAACCAACTTTTTTTGGATTTGCGAAAATGACCAACAAAATCGCAACGCGAAATAAAAATCGCAACGCGATTTAGAAAATCGCAACGTTGAAAAGAAAATCGCAACGGTCAAAAGAAAATCGCAACGCGATATTCCAAGAATCGCAATGCGATTAAGAGAATCGCAACGCGATCTTCCAAGAATCGCAACGCGATTAAGAAAATCGCAACGCGATTCCAAGAATCGCAACGCGATTAAGAAAATGAGTAAATTCTTTCAAAAGCTATTGTATTTGTTTCTTTCTTAAGAATTTTCTCTAAAAAGATAGTATCCGCGCGGACGTGTCGAAGACACGTATTACCACGACCACGACCACGACCACGACCACGACCACGACCACGACCACGACCACGACCACGACCACGACCACGACCCGAGACGAGACGAGACGGCGGCGGCGGCGCGCGAGAGTCCCCCTTGTTCTCTTTCACTCAACAAGGAAATGGGAAATCCAAGCCTTAAATACACTTCCCAATAGTGTTTCCAATACTATGTGGGATTGAGCATTACTCAACACTTCAAAGAAAATATAGCAATTTTTGTAGTATTTTCCCGCTTAATCCATATCTAAAAATATTAAAACATTTTATCAAGAGAATTAAAAGAGTTGTAGATATCTACATTTCAATTCAAACTTGTACATATAGTTTTAATATGATAAAATGTTTTAATATTTTTAAATATGGATTAAGCGGGAAACATGCTACAAAAATTGCTATATTTTCTTTGAAGTGTTGAGTAATGCTCAATCCCACATAGTATTGGAAACACTATTGGGAAGAGTATTTAAGGCTTGGATTTCCCATTTCCTTGTTGAGTGAAAGAGAACAAGGGGGACTCTCGCGCGCCGCCGCCGCCGTCTCGTCTCGTCTCGGGTCGTGGTCGTGGTCGTGGTCGTGGTCGTGGTCGTGGTCGTGGTCGTGGTCGTGGTCGTGGTCGTGGTCGTGGTCGTGGTCGTGGTAATACGTGTCTTCGACACGTCCGCGCGGATACTATCTTTTTAGAGAAAATTCTTAAGAAAGAAACAAATACAATAGCTTTTGAAAGAATTTACTCATTTTCTGAATCGCGTTGCGATTCTTGGAATCGCGTTGCGATTTTCTTAATCGCGTTGCGATTTTCTAAATCGCGTTGCGATTCTTGGAATCGCGTTGCGATTTTCTGAATCGCGTTGCGATTCTTGGAAGATCGCGTTGCGATTCTCTTAATCGCATTGCGATTCTTGGAATATCGCGTTGCGATTTTCTTTTGACCGTTGCGATTTTCTTTTCAACGTTGCGATTTTCTAAATCGCGTTGCGATTTTTATTTCGCGTTGCGATTTTGTTGGTCATTTTCGCAAATCCAAAAAAAGTTGGTTAAAATCGTATATTATAAGGCATTTTTGGTCACTGAGGCGATTTTCTCTTACTGAAATGGTATAAACGGCACCGTTTTGTGTTTGCTACTTAGGTAATCGACCTATTTCTCATTTAAGACAGAACGGGTAAAAATATCTTTGGGTAAATTACTCATTTAGCACCTAAATTATCAGTTTTAATCCGTTTTAGACTTCCACTTCTCTCATTTTCTTCCAAAGAGCATATATGACTTTCTGAAGCAAACCGAAATTTCACGGCCTAGCAAGGAATTGACCCGCCAACGAATGCCTCCAAATATTGATGCCCTCATACAGAACCTCGACAGGGGGATGAACAGAAATAGAGCCCTCTGTAACACCGGGGGAAGAAATCAAGTGTAATGTGCCTTCTGGACCTCGAAAAGCTTTTTCCAACCTATGCAAAACAGCACTAGAACCCCCCAAACAACACCCCCAAACAAAATCGAAGAAAGAAATCGAAGAATGGAGAAGGAAGTCCCTAGGAAAGAAAGACCCACTAACTTACGCCCAGAGCATTCCCCCACTAGTTACAACCATGGTTATCAAAATCGGATCGGATCAGTCGGTTCAACCGGTTGAACCGTGAACCGGTGACATGTCCAGTCCGGTTATCTCATAAAACCGGTCTGGCAATGAACCGGTTGAAAACCGGTAAAATCGGGATGAACCGGCTGAAAACCGATAAAACCGGTTTGAACCACCGATTCACTTTTTTTCTTTTAAAAAAAATTAAACCAAACAACGTCGTTTGTTCAACGAGCCAAGTCAAATTCGAGTATTGTTGAGTTCGACTCGAACTCGAAAACTTTAAAAGTAAGCTCAACTTGACTCAAAAACTCACGAGTTAAAAATTATCAAGTTCAACTCGAACTCGAAATATAATATTAAAACTTGAACTCGAAAAGGCTCGAACTCAAAAAAAATTTAGAAGTTCGATTGAAGCCTAAAATTTGAGCTCAATTGAAACGAAAGAATAGTTCTCTCTGTGCTCACCAAAAGGTTACATTATTTTAAATGTCAAATTACCTCTATTATTTATAGAAGTAAGTTGGATGCTCTTCTATGTTTCTTAGCCATGTGGGATTGTTTTGTTCTCATATTTTTACTCTTTAAACTTTAGGGATGCTCTTCTATGTTTCTTAGCCATGCGGGACTGTTTTAAAAAAAATAAATCAAATGACATCATTTGTTATGATTTTTAAGCCCCAATTTTTTTTTTGATTATAGTTATATAATTATATTTATTATTTAATATGTTTTACCTTAAATATTATGTTATAGTTGATTTGAATCATTTTGTTTCACTTGATTTTATGGTTTTTAATTTATATATGTTATGACTTGTGATATTTTTATACCTTTTAATATTGTAAACTTAAAAAAAGTGTTACATATATATTAATATTGCTTTGAATATTATGTAAAATTAAAAAAATATTATTTTATATAAAATCCGGTTCAACCGCAGTTGAACCCGATTGAACCAGTGAACCAATACCTTCACCGGTTCAATGTCCGGTCCGGTTTTAAAAATATTGGTTACAACTAAAAACGACTCCGACACTTTAAATCTTAAATAATATCGCTTTTCACGAATAGATGCATAAAATATTTTTTTGACTCATTCCAGTGTTTAGTGTTACAAACATTATTATTTTAGGTGTCCAGACCATCAACAGCGTTAATTTCATCCATTAAATGACACGTGTTGGATTAAAATCTATAATTATGGGCACATATTTATAATGTATATTGTTATTATTAAATATGACATAAATTAAGTGTCAAATTATATTATAAAGTCATACGGTTTTAAAAGTGTCATGGAAATAAAAGTGTAGATACTATTAAAATTGTATTTATAATTCGATGAGGGACAAAGTTATAAGTATAGACAATAATAGATTCTTAAATCAGCTATATAAAGGAGTTATGTTTCCCAAAAAATAGATAATCTCGTATTTATTCTTATCCCCATCAGATAGTTTATACTCAAGAGAATTATATCTTATTAGAAGATCACAACCAAAGAATGTAACACCCTAAATTATGGGCTAGTAGTTTCGAGTTTACCCGAAAGGTAAGTAGACCTCGTGAAATTCATAAGTAAAGTTGTTAGCTTAATTGGGTTTGGATTTGGACCCAATTAGCCACAAAAAATGGGATTTTAAATTGTAAAAAAAGAAAAGACTAATTGTGCAATTTCCCATTTTGTAAAGATAGGGGTTTATATCTTATCATATTTCTCTTCTCTTCATTTCTTCTTCTTCATTTCCTCTTCTTCATTTCTTCTTCCTTCATATTCTCTAAGTAGCCATAGCTCCAAGGTAACGTCTTAAACCTTTTTCTTGTTTCATTTTCGTTCTTAATCCCCTTGCAACAAAGTTTTAAAGAATCAAATTCTTGGTTTAATCCTAGCTAAAGAAAATTAGGGGTTTTTGTAATATCCTGAAATCAGGGTTAGTGACAAAAATGTGAATTTTTAAAATTTAGGGATCAATTTAGGAAAAATTGAAATTTCAAGAATTTTAATATGAATATTTCATTATTGGATGAAAGGGTAAATATGAAATGATTATAAGGGCATTATTGTAATATTAGCTTAAAAGATATTTTCTCCCTTTTATAAAAATGAAACACGTGGGTTTGGAGAGTTATATGGAACTCTTTTTTTTCTTCTTTCTTTATTCTTCCTGTGTGTTCATGATTAAGCCTCAAAAGTGAGTTTTAATTTTGATGGTTAATTCTTGAATATTTGAGTTGTGTTTTATTCTTTGAGTGTTATATAAGCTTAAAGAAAGCTTATATAAGCTTAAAGAAAGCTTATATAAGCTTAAAGAAAGCTTATATAAGCTTAAAACACCAAAAGGAGAGAATTAAAAAGGATATTTGATTAAGGGTTGAGAAATGAACTTTTGTTATGGAAAGGTTTTTGAAGTTCTAAAGATGGATTTCACTTGTCAAATGGTTAATTAAGAAGTTAGAGATGATAGAATTGAATTAGAACACATGTAAAAATTAGATGCAATTCTTTGATTCAAGAACTATGGTGAATTATGTGAGATGATGAAGTGTTATAGTGTTATAAGAAGGTTTATACATGTATAGATAAGTTTTAAGGCATAAGGAGGGGTTAATAAGTAAAATTTGAGGTTAAAGTAAGAATTTTCAGGCTTAAAATGTCATTTTTGGGTTGTATGCATCGATACACTCTCAAATAAATAAACATCGAGTATAGTTGGTGCATCGATACATGAGGAGTGCATCGATGCATCCCCTTAAAATGGAAACATCGAATGTAAATTGTGTATC